AGCTTCTGCCTTCTGTTCTTTGGCTGAAATAACATAATATCAGTTTCCAAATCATAAAGACTGGATACTAAAGAAAAATCAATCTGTTCAGTGATCACAGAACAATACCAGCATTGCTTTCTTCTCTTTTTTTAATAGCCTCTGCCCTTCGTCGTTGTATAAGGGCTAACCACTGTGCAATATAAAGTCAACAATAGGACGTTAAAATATAAAGTTTTGATGAAATCTATCTGAAGAAACCACTAGTAAAGGATAACAGTTGATAGATAAACAAGGTTATACAAGCATGGCTAACTGACAAAAAAAAAAAGAAAAAAAAAGAAAAAGAAAAAGAAAAGGAAAATATAGAGAAAAAAAGAAGAAAAAGAGATGTTTGCTTATGCATCTGAAGATGTTCACACATTGTCCTAATGTGTCCAGTGTGTGTATGAACCAACGCATTTCTTAACATCAAGGTGTAGGAGCCATAGTCTATTGCAAATTAATAATAATAATAATTAATTAATTAAAATTTTACATTATGCCGGGTGGCATATGGTAGTCAATTTTACTCAACAAATATTAAAACCAACAACTACACCATTTTGGTATCGATGCATTTGAGATGGGACAGAACTCTAGAAAGATCTGAATGCTTAATAAAATCTTTCAATTTTAATTAAAGTTTACATAACCAAAATATACTCCCAGTACTTACAAGTAGCAGCCTCTCAAGCCACTTGTGCAACCAAAATGTTACCAAAGAGAGAGTATACTAGCTACTAAGTAAAAACAATGAATGTGTGGTGCATACCATACTGGACTCCAAAGGCTGATGCTTTAGATGGTCAACTTCAGATGATTCAAGTAAATGGCTGTCTCCAAGGTACTTTCTTCCACTGTAAACGTCCTAGAACACTGATGGTAAGAAGAAAAAATCCACTCGCAAATGCAATGGACAGCAACTGCTTCTCTGTAATATTTGGAAACCATCGATATGAGGCCAGACACACTCAACTAAACAAGGACTTATCACAACTCAATCAAGTAGCCAAAGGTCAATAATCAAATACACCATACAATCGATACCTTATTAATGGACAAATCAATCTATTTTGCAACCACACCACCTGATAGCTGTTTATTCGGGAGCGTAAATTGATCCTCAAAGTATATGTCAAGAATATTAGCCAAACCAACCTGAAAAGGTATTGAACGAGAGAGTTGACAACAGAGCATAATTCCCCGAGTCACTATCTCACCCTAATAAAATTAACATGAAAGATGCTAGTAAAAGCATATTCATCAATAAGGTAACTCAGGTTTCATCATAACTTGTAGTAAATGCAGAAAGAGAAGTGTTGCGCACTCAAGTGCATGAGAAAAAGGCATCAACTGGAATAGAAAATGCCACCACAAATCAAATCACTCTGCGCTTAAGGCCTCCAAAGTTCCTTTTTCCTTGTTTATAATTTTAAATATTATTAGGTTAACCTGCAAGGTGGTGAACATGCATGCCATAAAGCCTTTTTAATCTCGACAATCCTTAACTCCAACAACATCATAAGCCTCCTCAATATAGAAAGTCATGGGTAAGGCCATAAGTAGACCAATACTAATTCATTATAGATGAAGGCATCTAACAACATAGTTTAGATATTTGTTTCAAAAAGGGTATTAGGAAAAATAACCTTACCTTCAACCATTCACTGTAGCCATCTGGGCAACATTAAAAAAATAAAAAGAATACATATCCCAATTCTTAATTAAAAACAATTATAGACAAATTGGACATGCAGAATAAAATTATAAAGAGAGAAGTAGTCAAATATCAAACATGCATATGGACATAAGATAATCAAAACTCTGCCCATCATGGAGAAATTATGATCAAAACAGTTGAGCAAATTTGGGATGTCACCATTAGACATAGTACAACCAATATTTGCAATATCAAAATGTGAAAAATAAACTTGATTTTAAAATTTTAGTTGTAATTTGTATTTTCAAGTATTTGGTATACATGATGCATGTGTGCATTTCATGTTAGTGGGGTAGTAAATGGTCTTGATGAAGAAGGTTATGTAAGACTAAGAGGTATATGGGAATTAAGTATCCTAAATACTATGTTAGTGGGAGTTTGTATTTGTGTTAGTGGAAAACATCGAGTTAAGTCTATTAAATACTATGTTAGTGGGATTAGTGGGAATAATTGGGCATTGAAATGTAATTGGTTATATATGTCTTAGAGCCTATATAAACTCATGTACTATACCTATTTTATGTAGAGAGAAAAGTTGAATGAGTAGAAGAATAAGATGAATTAGTAGAATTGGAATAAAATACTTTTCCAAGTTTTCCTCCATATCCCCTTCTCTTCCTAAATATTATAGTGTTGTGTGTGTATATAAGCCACTATTTCCAACAAAGTGGTATCAGAGCAAAAACCAACACAAAATGCATTATTTTGTATTTATACATGCCCGCCAGTTAAAATATCATGTGAATTTCATTTGCAAAAAGCAAAATGAAAATTGCATGCCAGAACTAGATAGACAAAAAGAGTGGCAAACTTGGTTTTAAGCTACCCCTCTAGCGTCACATGACTCATAGAATTTGTCTTCCATAAAGAAGCTCAAATTAGAGACTGTATGATTGCATCTCGAAAGCAGTATTCCATAGAAAAAGTATGAGATGCCACAGCTAAATTTGACAACCATTTCTAAGCAAATTGAAGGATCCCTCCTTGAGTCTTGAAAAATTACCATTAGAAGTCCAAAGATAAAAGGAAGAATGGAGTACCATTTGGGAGTGGGTCAGAAGAACTTCCTACTTACTCTCTGCAGTTTTTTTCCACCCTTCAAACTTTACACTGTTAAGTTTGTCGGTGTCAATTTGCAGCCTGTAAGCAGGTACATATTATTCATCCAATTACTACCTCCGTCCCTTTTTAATCATGTGAGTCACAGTTTATGAGGCGGACAATTAAAAAGGGATGGAAGGAGTACTAAACTAGGGTCCACCAATCTCTTCCAATTTAGAATGTGCTGGTGTAGTTCACCAACAGTACTTCAATCTTGCTTCTACAGGCATATAATCTCCCTTTTTTGACTTAAATATTTTTAGTAGACTCTTTGAATTTGCAATGGTCTGATCTTCGAATAATTTATGTAAGACCACTGACGAGTCTTTCAATACAATTTTCTTAGGCTTGCGAAACCAATGGAAGAGATCATTAGATGTTTTGCCCGATGAATTAAGGAAATGGCTTTCGGCGCTTTCAGGAGCTGAAAGGCAAACAACTTCTGCAAGCACAAAAATGTCATTAGAAGAACATAGTTTTCTCAATTGTAATTGTCTCTGTGAAACAGAATCAAAATAACTTGAAAGTATTCAAGCAAAATTAAAGAGAGTTTAAGAAAATTAAAAACAAAATTATTTACCAATATATATATATATATATATATATATATATATATATAATCAAATATAAAAAAAAACAAAAATGAAATTATTCAAAGTATTTAACCAATCCACACTACAACTGTAATAGCAGCAGCAAGCTAAACAGCAGTAGCATAGAAGGCAAAGAAGCAAACAAAGTCATGCCATCTGAAATAGCTGTTACGAAGTTCCAAAGAGAAAAATTAATAACTTCAGTAATTATATATGAAGACACTAAAAATAATCCGGGCTTGGTATGATTCGTATTGCTAAGAACGGGTCGGGTATGGATAGCTAGGATAGAGCACGTCCACGTTGAATGGGCCCAGATCCAAGAGGTCACTCTGGAAGCCCATGTTATAATGAAAGAAGTTGAGCCCAAACAAAAGAGAAGAAGTTAGGTCCAGCCCTAGAGCGGTTGTAACCGTCTATAAATAGAGGGAATCAAGAGGGAAAAGATGTTGAAAAAATTATTGGGAGTGTAAAGTTTCTCTCTCTACAATTGGGGAAAATTCTTTGTACTTTCAATTGGCACCGTCTGTGGGAAGAACAGAGAGGATTGATTGGTGTTGATCCAGATCAATTCGATTCAAAGCACTTTGCGAAGAAGAAGATTAATCCCTGAAAGCTGAATCAAGGTTGATGGAAATGCGGTCTGTCTTGACGTATCTTGGTTCCAGTTGATTTCGAGAGGTTGGCGTCCAATCTACGTAGACCTGATCTGTGCTTAATCCAGCGAGCTGCGCAGTTGAGATTTGTTAAGATTACTAAATTTGGCAAGCTTGTAGCTAGAATAATTCGAATCCGGCTAGTAGCGAACAGAATTCAACAAGTTTGAGTCCAGATCTGGTGCATGTGCGTTAGTAGAGCTTCATCTGATCAAGAAATCTGCGGTTAATGACTTTGCTCCGATCAGGAATGATGATCGGAGAGGAGACCTCAAATCCTTTGGAGAATGGCCAGCAAATGAAGCTCGATGAGTTGATGAACATGATCGAAGCCTTGAGAAAAGAAAATGCAGAGTTGCGCGCTAGAATGGAGCGTTGTGAGGCTCCTATAATTCAAAGGCCACCTCCGGAAGGAGAGGGAGTCTTAACATCCCATGCTGTTCGTCAAGGTGATCCAGAAGGTGTTAATCGCGTCAATCCACGTCGTGATGAAGTTATAGTAGACGATCTACCTCCAAATGTCCGTCAAGTAGAGGATTGAGAAGGATCTGTTCATTTGGAGCCACATCGCGAATGGATCATGAGAGAGGAAGCGCCGGCGTGTGATCATAGGGTTGCATCACTATGGCAAAGTGAGTTTGCAGAAGACAGATCATTTAATTCACCTTATCAACCTTTGATGGCAACATTTGACTACCGCAGTTCAGAAAGGAGATCTGCTGATCGGGGAGTTCCGTCACAGTTTTTAAGGGAGAACGAAGCATTGCGTTCATCAGCAAGGACAGTTGCATCTCTATTCACTGATGAAATTCTGAACGCACCGAATCCGAAGAAGTTTTCCATGCCGATCTTCATTCTGTTTGATGGAATGATCGACTCAGTTGACCACATCTACACATTCAGTTGAAAATGGCTCTAAATACTAACAATGATCCTTTAATGTACAAGTGTTTCCTTATAAGTTTGGCTGGACCAACCCTTAATTGGTTCAAGAATCTGGCTCAGGGCTCAATCGCTAGTTTCCAGGACTTGTGTGACAAGTTCATAAGCCAGTACTATGGGAATAAATGTCCGACTAAGAATGTATCAAGCCTTTTCACAATGAAGCAACACGAAGATAAACAACTCCAAGCTTTCCTCACCCAGTTCAACCTTGTTAAAAACATGGTAATGGAGTGTCATCTATCCACAGCGGTCCAAGCATTTAAACTTACAATGAACCAGGGGATACCGTTCCACACAAGCTTGGTGGTCAATACGCCGAAAACCATGGACGAGCTGAACGAGAGAGCTGATGGTTTTGTTCATCTTGAAGAAGAAGAAGAGGCAGCTAATTCAAGGAAGACGTTAATTATTTTGACAAAAGAGAAGTCCAAAGCCAAGATCCGGCAAAAACAAGCTCAGCCGCAACGTCAGACCTCCTGGAAGACAGAGAAAAGGTCCCGGGATGAGGAGTTAGTTACTCCACTCAGAGTCACCTTAACGAGGGTATATCAAGAGAACAAAGATAAGTTTCGCCCTCCCTTACCAATTAGACAACCTCTTGAACAGAGGGATCAAACTAAACATTACCAATTAGACAACCTCTTGAACAGAGGGATCAAACTAAACATTATGCTTTCTATAATGATTTTGGACATCAGACTAATGAATGCAGGAACCTAAGGAGACAAGTGGAGATGCTGATCGCAAAGGGGGAATTTACAGGGTATGTACAAGGTCTAGTGTAAGAGCAGAACCGACCGGCTGAACAGATCAAGAAAAATCAGAGGCCGAACCACCATAGCACTCAGTCCGTTCGGATTATAAATACAATTCATGGCCGACCTGAACAGACAACAGAGTCAGAGGAGTTGCTCAGAACGCGATTATGTCAGGCCCAGTTGAAGAGAATAATTGGCAGTGTACATGCTTTGCACCAGCAAAATGCATCCGCACAAATAAAGTTTGACAGAACAGACCTGCTACGCGTTCAGGTTCCTCATAAAGATCCACTGGTCGTCAGTCTAACAGTTGCAGAATGCCTAGCACGAAGAGTTCTGATTGATCCAGGAAGTAGTGCAAACGTCATACCCAGAGTGACGTTCGACCGACTTGAGATCGAACCTGAGAAACTAAAGCCGACAGGAAATCCATTGTTAGGATTTGATGGAAAATAGGTGAAGCCTATTGGAATGGTGGAATTGACAGTATAAGCTGCTGAGAGAGTTTTGACTGAGAGTTTTGTGGTCGTGGAAATTCATCCATCCTACAACCTCTGAATGGGAAGAGGGTAGATTCATAGAGTTTAGGGTGTCCCATCAACCCTACATCAAGTGATACGATGCTTGGGCCCAGATGGGACCAAGGTGATTAACATTCATGGGGACCAGGTTGCAGCTAAAGAATGTTATTCAGTAACTTTGAAATATGCTGGAAAGGGGAAAAATCCCATCCGTTCTGCCAGTCCAAGATAGCAATTACAGGAACCTCCACCCAGCAAAAGTGGGGAGGAGGAGCCACCAGTTCTGACCGTAGAACCTCTTCTTGATGTGCAGATCAACCATAAAAAGCCGGACCGAACAACGAGGGTGGGATCCAGACTTACTGAGGATGAAAAACTAGGATTAATTGGCTTCTTAACTCGAAATGCAAATGTATTCGCATAGAGCTATTCAAATATGCCAGGGATCAGTCCTTCTATGTCCTGTCATTCCCTTAATGTGGATCCCAGTGCAAAATCTGTGAAGCAGAAGCAGAGAAGATTTGCTTCAGAACGCAATCGAATCATAGCTGAGGAGATTGATCGGTTGCTCAAGGCAGGATTCATTAGAGAGGTTCAGTACCCGGCCTGGCTCTCCAATGTCGTTGTTATACAGAAAAAGAATGGGAAATGGAGAGTGTGTATTAACTTCACTAATCTGAACAAAGCTTGCCCAAAGGATAGTTTCCTTGCCACGGATTGATCAAATGGTGGATGCCACCACTGGATACGAGCGGCTAACCTTCCTGGATGCTTATTCCGGTTATAATTAAATCCCCATGGACCCAATTAATGAAGAGAAAACCTCTTTTGTTACTGAACGAGGGGCCTACTGCTATAAAGTCATGACGTTCGGATTAAAGAATGCTGGAGCTACTTATCAGAGGCTGATCAGTAAGATTTTCAAAAGCCAAATGGGGAGAATTGTAAAGGCTTACATTGATGATATGGTGGTCAAGAGTAAGAAGAACGATGATCACTTAGCGCACCTGCAGGATGTGTTCGATATGTTGAGGAAGTACGGATGAAGCTTAATCCGGCTAAATGCTCATTAGGCGTGAGCTCTGGTCAATTCTTGGGATATATGGTCAATCATAGAGGAATTGAGGCTAGCCCAGCCCAGGTAGAAGCTCTGATCAGAAATGCAGAACCAAAGACAATTAAGGAAGTGCAGGCACTCCCATGTCGAATAGCTGCACTGAGCCGATTCATTTCTAAGCTCTCGGACCGTTGTAAACCATTCTTTGATACAATTCGAGGCTATGGAAGGCAAGCCTGGGGGGATGAGCAACGATATGTACTAACCAACCTGAAAGATTACATGCGCAACCCTCCGGTTCTATCTGCTCCTGAGCCAAATGAGAAGTTCTTTCTGTACCTTGGGGTATCCAGCATCGCGACCAGTGCCGTTCTGATCCGTTGCAAAGATGGAAAGCAATTCCCAGTGTTTTATGTCAGCAAAACAATGGCCGAGCTGGAAAGAAGGTACTCAAAGGCCAAACAGATGATCTTGTCATTGGTCAACGCAAAAAGGAAGCTCAGGCATTATTTCGAATCCCATCTGATTGTCGTCTTAACAACCTTTCCTATAAGGATGATCTTACACAAGCTAGACCTATCAGGAAGAATGACAAAATGGGCCATTGAGTTGAGCTCGTTTGATATTACATATGAACCCAGAATGGCAATCAAAGGTCAAATGGTGGCTGATTTCCTACTTGAATGTGATGCTGAAGACTTGGTGGAAGATTATAGTTGTTCCTTATGGAAGCACTTTGTAGATGGCTCTTCAAATCAAATGGGGGCAGGGATTGGAATCCAATTGTAAACACCAGAGGGCACCACGGTGAGCCAAGCGATCAGACTTGAGTTCAACGCAACCAATAACGAGGCTGAATACGAGGCATTATTAGCTGTGCTGAAGTTGGCTAAGGAGTTAAAGATCAAGAATCTAATTGCTTATAGTGATTCACAGCTAATCATTCGGTAAGTCAATGGAGAATACGAAACCAAAGATAAGACCATGGAAGCATACCGAACCGCGGTTCTGCGTGAGGCGAAAGACTTTAATCAGATCAGGTTCATTCAATTGCCGAGGGAGTATAATGAAGATGCCGATCGTTTAGCCTATAGTGCATCCAGTTCTAGAGAAACTCTGGCTAGGGTTATCCCAGTTGACGTGTTGATCCAGCCATCCATTTTTGACGAGCAGCCCGATCCGAGTGCTCAACAAGTTAATGTTATACTATATGAGCTGAGCTAGATGTGATCCGATCATGGCTTTCATACGTGATGGTGTGCTACTCGAACAAAAAGATGAAGCAAGAAAAATTAGGTCCAACACGGCGAAATATGCTATTGTGCGTGATCAATTGTACAAACGGTCCTTTTTGGGTCCATACTTGAAGTGTGTTACCCCAACAGAGGCAAGACAGATCATACGAACCATTCATGAAGGTGTATGCGAAAATCATTCAGGAAGAAGATCTTTGGCACACAAAGTAATGACACAAGGGTACTTTTGGCCAAACATGGCACGAGATACAGAAGAATTCTCTAGAAGATGCGATAAATGCCAAAGGTTCTGGCCATTGATACACCAACCACCTAAAGACTTGCACGTAATGGCCATGCCATGGCCTTTCGCGCAGTGGGGGATGGATGTGGTTGGCCCTCTGCCAATCGCAAGATCGCAGAACAAGTACGTTCTGCTAGCAACTGATTACTTCACCAAATGGGTGGAGGCAGAGCCGTACCCTAGTGTCACCCAAACTTAAGTAAAACGTTTCATCTGGAATAATATTATCTGTCGTTTTAGTGTACCAAGGTCGATCGTTATGGACAATGGAACCAATCTCGATAGCAAGCAAGTGAAAGAGCTGCTGGGATAATATGGAATTAATCAGAAATTGGCAGCAGTCAGTCATTCCCAGGCTAATGGTCAAGCTGAGATCACGAACAAGACAATATTTGCCTGCATCAAGAAGAAGCTGGAAAATGAAAAAGGAAAATGGTTAGATGAGCTTCCGAACGTCTTGTGGGCTTACAGAACAACCCCAAAACGGCCAACCGGGGAGAGTCCATTCGCTATGGTGTACGGCACCGAGGCAGTGATACCAGTCGAACACTTGGTTCCAACCGTTAGAAGCTTAGCACGGAATCAAGAGCAGAATGATAGAATGCTAAGGTTTAATCTTGATCTGCTGGAGGAGAAAAGGGATGCAGCTGCAATACGGCTTACTTCTTATCAACAGACACTCGTAAATAGCCATAACAAGAGGGTGAAGCACAAAGACTTCGCCCTTGGTGATCTGGTTCTGAAAAGGAAGGTGGGGATAGTCAAAAATATGTTTTCCCCAAGGGAAGGTCCATACAGAATTGCATAAGTCATAGGAAAGGGGGCATACGTCCTGGAGACCATGGCAGGAAGGTTGGTCAGTAAGCCATAGAATGCTACGTCTATGAAAAGGTACTACCAGTAGAAGTAGAGTTTAATTTCAAATAATATGCTCATTTTGAATTGCATACTTGCAAATGTACGAAATTTTCAAGTTTTATGAAAGATTTTTACTTTGCTCAAAAATTAATTGACATCCTTCCCACTTAGCAAAGTCAGTGGCAGCTGGCACTACGAGCCAAATGCCAAATACTTGCTCAAAATAAACTAATGCCGAGTGGCAAGTGGCGTTCTAGCCGAGCGCCAGGCGTTCAGCAAAGTCAGTGGCAGCTGGCACTACGAGCCAAATGCCAAACACTTGATCAAAAAAACTAATGCCGAGTGGCAAGTGGCGTTCTAGCCGAGCGCCAGGCATTCAGCAAAGTCAGTGGCAGCTGGCACTACGAACCGAACGCCAAACACTTGCTCAAAATAAACTAAAGCCGAGTGGCAAGCGGCGTTCTAGCCGAGCGCCAGGCATTCAGCAAAGTCAATGGCAACTGGTACTACAAGCCGAACGCCAAACACTTGCTCAAAATAAACTAATGCCGAGTGGCAAGTGGCATTCTAGCCGAGCCCCAGGCACTTAGCAAAGTTAGTGGCAACTGTCACTACGAGCCGAACGCCAAACACTTGCACAAAATAAAGCCAAATGGTAAGTGGCAATCACGCCGAACGCCAGGCACTTAATAAAGTTAGTGGCAGTTGGCATTACAAGCAGAACGCCAAATGCTTGCTTAAAAATCAATCAATGCTGAGTGGCGAGAGGCATTCAAGCTGAATGCCAGACACTTAACAAATGTCAGTAGCAGCTGACGCTACAAGCTGAATGCCAAACACTTTTGAAAAATGAAGTTTAAAAGATTAAAAATTGAAAACTTGAAGAATGGAAGTTTTGCTGAAAATAAGTATTGTCATTCCCTATTCTTTCATTACAAAATAATCCTGAGGTACATGGGTTGATGTTCTGAGGATACATGAAGATACACTCTTAAAAAAAAATAATAATAAATAAATAAATAACTGATGCAAATGATTGCAGAATGCTAGTTCTCATGGTCTTCTCCAGGCTCTGACTCGTTATTCTCCCCATCATTACCCTCTGGCCCATTGTGGTCTTCTCCATTCTCAACTGCACCATCATCCTTGGAGGGAGAGTCAAGGTGAATCACCCCCTCAGCCAGCATGAGTCGGTGAGAGGCAACTGAAGTAGAGGGCATGATAGTAGTAATTGGAGGAATGTTCAGAGGATGGAAGGGTGGAACAACTCCTGAGGCTGCAACCTCTCTGCACTCGATAAAGATATTCTCAGTAGGGTCGCAGGGTGGATTCTAGTAGTTGCTTGGTGGGTGGATATCCAAAGAGGCATCCAACTCATCCGGACCAGCACAAGAACTAGATTCACCTTCAAGGGGAGAACGGTCAATAAAGCTATCTCTATACCCTTCAGCATACCGGAGGGCACTAGTTCTGGTGAAGCG